CTGATTATTATTCTCTGAGTTGTAGGGTTTTTAAAATCGCGAAATACACCATTTGATAGAGTTTTGCTGCAATTTTGGTAGTTTTTCCTTTCTTTAAAAAGGTTTCTATACTTTTGAGTTCAATTTTCCACTTCAAAAAGGTTTAGATTTTAAAATTTAAAATTAATCTCAAAAATGTCTGTGCAAATGAATTTCTTAAAAGCGTTTTTCAAAGCGATTGTTAAACAATTCTAAACACAGTTATCGCATTGAAAAATTTTATCTATAAAGATATTTTCCAACATAATGTGTTATCGACGTCGGACAGTAAAAAATCACCATGAAGTGTAGATATAGATGCAGATATAGATAGAGGACCCTTCCTGTCAAAGTTGATTTTAGTCAAAAATTCGATTTTAAACTGAACGCTTGGCTAGGTTACTAATGATGTAAATTTCAAAAAGCCACAAAAGATAAGTCAGTGGCAAAGGCTATTAGAAAGTTTTTATGAAAGTTTTCTGAAAATCTGTGGTCACAATTGTTTCTTTCACCTTTGAGAGATGATAATTAAAGAGCTGTGGTTTTCTGCGACTTTACAGCTTCGAGTTCGGCATGTAGTATAAAATCTTTCTTGGAAACTGGTTTCCTGGAAGATCTTTGTAAAACCGAGGTGCTTTAAATCTTCTTTTTTGAGCGTTTAAGCAAGTTTCGATGCACTTAGTAAACTAGTAGCAACAAGCTACTCTGACAGAAAATGCTTTTTAAGTCAAATTTTCTTTTACACTAAAAGAATGCACTTAATTAAACCTTTAAATTAAAATTATACGAATGAGCTCTGTTGTGCAGTTGAATGACCTGAATCAGATCAAAATACTGTGGATTATCTGATATTAGATTGTTACTCTATCAAAGTTTGATAATTTTCTCTGTACCTTAATAGTAAAAAGATATTCTTAAAACGCAGTGTTGTAGCTTGTGAGAAATTCTATGTATTGACATATATCATTAAATTCGTACACGTTTGGTAAGTAAAAACAATCGAAAATAGCGAAAGGTTTACTTTCTTGGTCAATTAACTTTCAAAAAAAATTTCCCAGGCTACAAGAAAATACAAACCAAAAGTGACATGTGAAAATAAATGTAGATATAATCAACTATCATCATTACTACAATTTAATCAAAAACAGCAGGGGATGTTTTCCTATAGAAATAACCCCCGCTTCTTCTATTTGGTGAATAATACCAGAAAAACTTAAGAGAAAAACTGCATTATGTTTTATGTGACTTCATTAAAAATATATTGAAATTAATTTTACGATTTGAATTCCAGTAAAATTTGTTTTGTATATAATACGTTGTTAAACGAAAATTAAAATAGATACAATCAATTACATTACTAAACTGTTGGTTTACTACACAATTGTATCTGATAGGGTGGTCCTATCGATATAATAACTTATATCGCTACTATACTATTATTCACTTGAATTTTAGCTAATTCCCATTTTCTACAATCACAGAATATATGAGTAATAAAGTAGCGTGGTACGACACTTCCGCGAACTAAGGCTTCCGTGAAAATGTTTCATAGCACAAGAGGATTTAAGTGAGCTTCGTTTTCCATTTTATACATCATGTTTTGAAACCTGTGAAGTTATGTTGTGAGTGGTTGATATATCATACAATTACAGCCTTAGAGCCTGATTGATTATCGTGTTTAACCGGTTTTTTCTTCAATATATCGTAAACTGAAGCGTAGTGGAAGTTGAGACGTGATGTAGGAGAGTAAGAGCGAATAAGATAATTAGTCTCATATGTTAGAAATCCTAATCTATTCGGGAAAATGTCGACATATCGTAAAATTCTAATAATTAGATTATCTCTATAAAATGTCGCTCTAAAGGGAAAAGGTCCAAAAAATCCTTTTTCTAAATTGTAATGTTTGAATGTGGCGAGGGTTGTATGCAGAATTTTATATACGAGAACAATAATTTAAAGGGAACTTATGAAGAAGAATATAGCAGGAACAGACCGAGAGCATGTTGAAAGATCGAAATAGTTTTATGTTTCCGAATTCATTCATCATTCATCAAATACTTTTCGTCTCTGGATCTAGCTTAACCGGTCGGTCGGTTAACTGAGCGGTTAACCTAGATGTCAACCTCCCGTTCCTACTCGATTATGATAACCTACTGCTCGGTTCACGACTAGGTTGGAGGTAGCTAACTAGGTAAAAAGGTACATTTACTTAGATCCATCAAGTGAATAACCGCGCGGTTATGTAGCCGATGGAGCTAGATTCTCTTCGTAGAGAATTTTTGCTTGGAAGGTTGCTCATTTGCTTTAAAGAATTTTCTGTCAATAGAATGTTTATTTCACGATTTGAATCGTTTCTAGTGGAAGGTTTTATCGAATTATTTCAATATTTGGACGGCCCATTTCTTCTGTATGCATTTAAACAACTCAATCGATTTTTCGATTCTCTTATCGGCAAATATTATTGTTATTCATTCAACTTTTTATCGATAGAGAAATGCGTATTTGACTTTGCCTGTAAGCATCTTATACCAGCACAAGTCTTCTCTTTAACGCTATCGAGTCGATGGGACACATACGGTCAAATCGAATTATTTTTCTCGTTATTTCCATTGATGAATTTGTCAACATTCGTTATTAATTTGAATGAAGAATTTTTGATTCAGATTATTTCGAATCTACTCATATTAAATTTTCTCGCGTTTATTTCCGTTACTATACATCGATGGCAAAAACACGTGAGTCAAGAGACGAGACAGCTGCTGCGAGCAACTATAATGCCGTGTGCACCATCATTAAAACGTGTCACATTAATTCTGGATCCAATTATTAATGATAAGATACCAAGGTGGCTTACTCTACTAAAATTGCCATTTGATGAACACAAAATTGACATTCCATCACCAATCGAACACCTTACAACTGACTACTGGACTATTGAATACATACGACGAGCGTCAACGTATTATCCGAAGCTCTAAAGTTTAAATATCATCCGTTTTAACTGGGAGCTTCGAACCTTGGTTCCGAGCGTCAAACCTTGGTACCGTTCGAACTTTGTTTCCGACACTGACAAGATCCTTACAATTACAAATCTCCAAATACATTACGTGACATCTTCTGTCATCATTATGGATCTATTGGAAGATTTAATAAAACTACTTCCAAATTCCAAATATTTTTCGATGAAGGGTAGAAACGCCACTTTCATCAAAAACAGATATGATGATTATGAAGAGCCTAAAACAAAATTCGATTTTGAATTTAGTTTTCATTTCCGAAAGAACGATGGCACAACGTGCGAGTTGACATTTCACAAGATTTGTCATTAATCGTGGATGACTGTGAGCTTTGTCTCTTGAGAACGGATATTAGTTCTGCGTACAACTTGTCATCGAATGGTGATCTCTCGATGAAGCCCGTTACTTTGTCAGCAGTTACTTTGTCGTCTACATCAGTGAATGATGCCGCATATTTTTATATCAAATCATCATTGTGCGAAGATATTTTGAATGAAAACAATGAGCATCCGTTTTAACTTCAGCTAAAATGTTGGACGCCGTGAAATTTGTGAAAATCCGTACTGAGAGAGATTTCTCTTTAGCTAACGTGAAACATTTCAGTATGTCTTTGCGTAGCGAGGAACTACACTGGAAATTACTTCGACGATTATCCGAACAGGCACCGTGTCTTGAGTCATTAAAACTCTGCTCAATGCATTTATCGAATATCGTTAGCGATGAACCATTACGTTCATCTTTGAACACCAAAATTAAACGAGTCTCCATTAACGGTACCTTGTCGAACATTGACGAGTTTTGTTTAATATTTCCGAATTGTGTCACTCTCCGGACTACAGGTCTATTAGATCAACAGAGCCTGATTGAACTCATCAATCGACTGGAAAAGTTGATACAACTGATTTATCTTAAATTCCGGAGTGTCCACCCAAGAATCAATGAGAACTGGCTAAGGCAAAATACGAGATTAAATAAGAAACAAAATTTCATCTGTGATTATAATTTTCTTGATGTATTTAATCTGTGGATCAATGACGATGACCTTACCTCGTTCTAAAGCTGTATGCTCAATGAATATCGTACTTGTATCGCTAATGGTACGTTTCTCCTTTTTACTGCTTTTCCTAAATACTATTTTGAAAGTGCAAATTTTTACAGGAAGAGGCGGCGGAATCATAGGGGCAGTTGGGGCGAGCACATGGCACTGCCGCCACAGGTTCGCCGTTTGATTTCTCTGTTTCACCATTACAATAAATATTCTCCTCTTCTCTTGTTTTCTTCCTGTGATACGTTTTTTTACATAATCAAAGGATGAACGGAAAAAGAATGGAAGTAGAAAAATTCTTAGCTTTATACGAAGATAAGTCATCCTTTGTGAATAACCGTCTGGAAAAATGAATTTTTGCTGTATCGATGCCTAAATAGATCAGGAAGATGCGATACACGCTAGATGCCTAGTAGAAAAAGTGTCGCGGAGAAAAAGAGGGAAGTCTGAAATGTTTGTTTAGTATAAATCTCATATTTCAACTTGCTATAAGAAAATCTCAAAGGATCTTTTACGAATTTTTCGTTTACACAAGTAAAAACGAATAAAAAAGATGAAACTTCAATTATAGAAACATTAATATCAAATTTAATAGATAATTCTATAACGAAACCAAAACCTTTGACTGACACAGAAAATATTGAAAATTTTACTCGAACATTCTCAACTAACAATTGTTCAAATCAACAAACAACATCATCAATTACATGTAATGTAAAATGTGAAGCAGCATGCTGCTCAGCATCTCATCCTTGTCATCCTACCGATGCAAGAGACATTATATTCAAAAGAGATGGAACAGTTTGTCAAATTTTATAATTCAAAAGTTATCCATGGTTAACATTTTGTAAAACAAAACAAAAATTATATTGTTTTCATTGTAAATTAGCATTTGGACATGGTATACCTCTCGAACTTCAATGTTTGCACTAAGATGTGATGAAACTGTTGATGAAGCAAATAAAGAACAATTATGTATTACAATTCGTTTGATTGATAAGCCATATGTAATTCATGAAAATGTAATAGGTTCATATCAAATTGATAGACAAAATTCTAACAGAATTACTGAAACAATTGTTGATGCATTAACAAGATGTGGTCTAAATATTAGACAGTGTTGTGGCCAAGGCTATGGTGGGGCGGCAAATTTGGGTGGAATTCATGAGGGAGTTACTGCTAAAATATTACAACGAGAAAAACAGCATTTTACATCCATTGTAATGCACATTGTTTAGATTTATCTATACAAGATTTAACAAGACAATGTTCAACAACAGATACGACAATTACGTACACAAAAGATATTATTGGATTTGTTCAACGATCGCCAAAACGTTAACGTTTATTACTTATTACCGGTAATTAGCTAATAAATTTTGTTTGTTTTATTACTTGTTACTTCTTTATATGATAATTTTTCGTCGTTTTACTTATTACTTTTTATTACTTTTCTTCTTAGTAGTAGTAATAAAAGTTTATTACTTGAAAAAAGGGATAAATAGTAAGATCTTGTTTCCAAGTAATAACAAATACATTTTATTACTTATTACTTGGTAAAGAACAGTAAAGTGACACCGCTATTGATCGGAATCAAAAGAATATGGCAACGATTTTAAGCTGATTTTTATCACTAATAAGATAACTAAATTCATATTGTGTACTGCTTCTGAGAAATTTTTAAGTACATTAAATGCTCCGACTTTGTATTTCAACATTAGTAGAAATACGAGATGGTCACTGGGAAGAAGACGTTGTTGGATATTGACAGCTTTATTAAAATAGTCGATAGCCGTTTTACAATGCTTAATTTTTCAATGCATGTATGTATTACCAAAAGATAATTTAGAAGACGGTGGGATTGTTTTGTATTATTCGATTAATGGCTTATCACATCTTCTCTGATATTAAGACGTTGTTGTTCGAGCATGCCAACTATCTGATAACGAATTGAAAGATTACACGCCCGGTGTTATAATACAATGGTTACAGCCGAGTAGTCCGTTTAAAGGCGAACGCGTACTTGCTCCTGCTTTTCAGGATAGAAACACATATTTTAAAATATATTCATTGTCAGGCAAACCAATAAAGGAATTTTCAAACTTTCCTGCGTTTTTCAGAAACTCTAAAATATAACCAAAACCTTTCTTAATAGGCATGATTATAGCGCGCACCTTTTGGATTAAAATGAGACATCTCATAGGTCTACACGACCTTTCTTTGCAAAGTCATAGAATTTACAAGAAAAGCTCTAAATGTTCAATCGCTCAAAGCTACAGAAATAAGAAGAAATAAATTTAGGGCCTTTCTTGTAAATTGTGTAACTTTGCAAAGAAAGGTCGTGCAGAGCTGGGATATATCTCATTTTGATTAGAAATGTGCGGGCTACAATCATGCCCTATTAAGAAAACTTTCGGTTATTTTTTAGAGTTTTTGAAAAGCTGATTTTCCAGAAAACCGGTCTCGAAAGGCCTAAGGGCTGTCCTCTTGGTCATATTCGAAACCAGCATCGTCGATCATCTATAACCCACTAGATTTCATTAAAAAGCGATTTGATAATTCCGTCGTCAGACAATAACATTTTAAAAGTCATTGTTTAATATATACGTCCGATAAAGAAAAAACTGAATGGATTGTTCACCGAGAATTAACGAACTTTGACCGTCAATGGATTACTGTGGGCATGATTGATGCCTTAATAGGGCATGATTGTAGCCCGCACATTTCTAATCAAAATGAGATATATCCCAGCTCTGCACGACCTTTCTTTGCAAAGTTACACAATTTACAAGAAAGGCCCTAAATTTATTTCTTCTTATTTCTGTAGCTTTGAGCGATTGAACATTTAGAGCTTTTCTTGTAAATTCTATGACTTTGCAAAGAAAGGTCGTGTAGACCTATGAGATGTCTCATTTTAATCCAAAAGGTGCGCGCTATAATCATGCCTATTAAGAAAGGTTTTGGTTATATTTTAGAGTTTCTGAAAAACGCAGGAAAGTTTGAAAATTCCTTTATTGGTTTGCCTGACAATGAATAATCTGAAATATGAAAAGCTTTGTTTTGCTTAGCTCAGCAAATTCGTTTTCGACAAAGTAATGATTTTTCACACAAAAAAACATTTTTTTTCTCGACCGGTCGGTCAGAAATTCCTGACCGAACCGACCGGTTACATCTCTGATACGTTGTAGAACCGCAATTGATTAGTATTCTTTGCAAGGCATGCTTTCTCCTTCGACACCTGTGATGGATGCATCATGTTTTACTCGGTTCTTTCTTCGAAAACATGATGCATTCAGGCCACTCAAATCCATATGCGCCATATTTTCATTGTGTAGTCTTTTCAAAACTCACAAGCTATTCCGAAGTTAGAGTATCATTGGCAGGAAATGAGTTTCACCTGACGCAACAGTAATGGAAAGAAAGACAGAAGAACGAAAAGAAAGCTACCGATCCAAATCCATTGAGTTCAACTTTGAAAAAATATTAAAAAAATAATAATAATCATATAATTGATGAAAAGACAAAACTTTTCTCTCAAGGTACTAACTCGAATATAGCGCCGCTTCGAAGAAATAAATAATAAATAAGTTTTAAATCTAAATCAAACAACAAAAATGCATGGTTATACGAAGATTTGGAAAAGGAAGGCTTAATCACCCTGACCTAAATTCTCAAAATTTTGCTGATGAAAACTTTTATTATTGCTTTTTTTCGCAAAAGTCTGCAGACAAAGATCATAATCTGCGTTGGCTTCCGCGTGCAATGAACATGTTTTAGAAAAATT